CCAACATTATCAACACTAGCAAATGAAGGAGGGGCAGTGGAAGAATAAAGGAGAGCAGAGATGAGGAGGCAGGGATTTGGTGAGATGATTTCCCACAGCAGGGCTGTGTGGAGGGGCTCTCCTGTCATCAGCAATGGACAGGGAGCAGAGGCAGCTGTGTGCCAAGCTGTGCGAGCGGAAAGCTCTGCAGCATGCCAAGGCAAAGTACTGTAGGAAAAGGAGATGGAACTGCCCTGAATCTTGATACGAATGTGAACCCCCAATTTATTTTAATAGCTTTACTAAGTTTTTAACCAGCACCACACCCAGTACCGCCAGAAGTCAGAACAGTACATTTAAGATTAAAGTGTTTTCTGTTTTGAGTTAGGAAAACATGATGGGTTCTAAATAGGGAAAAGGAAGGGGGAAAAATAATATGAAGTTTTATTTCCTTTACACAACTTTTAGAGCCTCAACATTACTAAAGGTGTGAATACAGATGTCTGACAGTTTTGAACAGTTTAATACTGCTGTGTCTGTGGTAGCACATTCCAGGTCACTGGGAGGACTCTGAATGTCTTCATTTAAAAGATAATTGGCTTCTAGGGCTTCCCTCGCTGGGGAGCCTCATTCCAATTAAAACTTGAGTATTGTTGTAGCTCTGGCTTTTGGTTCTGGTCATTTTATAAATGGTCTAATTTTGGGGGGGCTGAAGTCAAGTTAATTTCTCCTCTCCTAAACTGAGGTTTTCAAGAACCCTGTGTGATTCTGGGAAAGAAATCACAAGTACACAGCAGATGTCTTGTATTTGGAGGTGGATGTTACAGAGATAGTGCCTTCAGATCAAGAAATAGCTGGTGACGTGTCCGAGTTGCGAAATAGTTAATCCTAAAGTCAGTGTTTTGTAGGAAGCCCTATTCTGGGATGCTAGGTGAGCTCAGGGTCTGGAAAGCATTGGGTCACAGCAGCTTCTTCCAATTCACTCCACTTTGTGTGACTCCTGGGAGTCAATTTCTGGCGGTTTAATACCATTTCCAGCCCTGGAAATTCCAATTTTGCAGTTTAGAGTTTTCTTCGGGGGAAGAGAACCAAGGAAAAAACCACCAGCAATACCGCGATCCCGTTACTTTTGCTGTGAGAGCTGCCATATGGGATCCATATATCAATGACGGTCACGGCCGAAAAGTACATACCTATGGAAACCGGTGCATTAGGGCTACTAACGCCCCAAAGCTCAGGTATTCGGAAGGATTCCGGGGCCGCGTGGGCTCTCCAGGACAACACGACCCCCGTCCCGCAGAACCCGCGGGGACACGCGTAGGGCAGAACGCGCATCCCGCGGCCCGGGGCGCACCGGGGAGCGCGGGGCGGGGGTCGGGCCGTCCCGCCGTGCTTCCCCCCCCCCCCCCCCGAGCGGGGACACCCCTCCCGCGTCCCCCCTTACCTTGCCGGGGGAGGCGGCTCGGGCGCGGGCCAGGGCGTCCAGGCGGGCGCTGTACTGCGTGAAGCGCTTCTGGTACCGCAGCGCCGTCACCTGCAGCTCCAGCTGCGCCGCCGCCAGTCGCGACAGCAGCGACTGCTCCCGCTTGCCGGCGCGCAGAGCCTCCTTCTTCAGCGCCTTCTCCAGCGCGGCCGCCCGCGCCTGCAGCGCGGCCCCGTGGGCTCGCAGGGCTCGCAGGCAGCCGTGGGCGCCCGCCCGGCGCTCGCCGTGGGTCAGCACCAGCCCGCAGCCCTGCTCGCACAGCCCCGCGGGCCGCGCCTCGCAGCGCTCCCGCATGTGCGCCTCCACATCGCGCAGGTTGAGCACCTGGCGGCAGCCGCGGTTGCGGCACTTGGCCGGCGAGAAGTCGCAGGTCTCGGCGTGCTCGCCCAGGTGCTGCAGCGGCACCACCGCCTCGCAGCCCCGCGCGTGGTTGTCGCACTTGATGTCCAGCTTGAGGATGAGGCTCTTGAGGGGCAGGACGTGGTTGAGCTCCTTGGTGGAGATGCGCTGGCAGTTGACGGGGCAGCTGCCCTGCTGCACCACCCAGGGCAGGACGCAGCCCGCGCAGAAGACGTGCCCGCAGGGGGTGGTCAGCGGGTCCTCCAGCACCTTGTTGCACAGGTTGCACTTGAAGTCGGGATCCACCTCCCCGCTGAAGCGATCCAGCTCGAACCCCATCCTCTTTCCGCTCCGCCGAAAACAACCGAAAACAGAAAAGAAAAAAAAAAAAAGGAAAAAAAAAAAAGCCCAGAAAAAGTACCCGGAGCGCTGACACGGGACGGGACGGGTGCAGAATGGAAATAAATAAGTATCAGCCGCTCCCGCCGCCGCCGCCCGAGAGGGAGCTCAGCCCCCCGCCCGGCCCGCGGCCGTGCCCCGTCCCCGCCGGTCCCGGGAGCGCCCGGGAACGCGCCCCGAGCGCGCTCCCGCCGCCGCCCGAGCACAGGGACCGCCCCGGCACCGCCCACCGGCACCGCCCACCCGGGGCGCCCCGGGGACCCCCCCGGCCGGGGACAGGGGACAAGGGGGTCTTTGTGACGGGGAGAGGCGGGCGGGGCGCGGGGTGGGCTCCGGGCTGGTACCCGCTCCCCCCCCGGGAGGCGGCAGGTAACCGGGAGCCCCGGGATGGGGAGAAGTGCGGGCGGAGCGAGAGGCACGGGAGGGGCGGGGAGGAAGGGGCCAGTGATGGGGAAGCGGTGGGAGAGGAGGGGAGCGGGGAGAGAGGGCGGGGAGAGGGGAGCGGAGGCGGGAGGGTCGCGGCTGGGTGTGACAAGGTGAGACGGGGCGGAGAAGGAGCGGCATCGGCCGCCGTGACAGACGGGGTGGTTGCTCGGAGAGGGGCGATGGGGCACGTCGGCTGGGCGCAGGGACGGCAAGGTCAGGCTGGTCCTACCTGGTCTAGTGAAAGATGTCCCTGCCCGTGGCAGATGGTTTGGAAAGAGGTGGTCTTTAAGGTTCCTTCCAACCCAAACCATTCTATGGTTCTGTGATGACTTTTGGAAAGGGCATACATGGAGTTGCCTCTGGGGTCTGTCCTGGACAAGCTGCTAAAAAGTTGGATTGAGTGTTCCGTCCTCAGGTGGGAATTCTTACACTGCTGACAAGAAAAAGGGCAAACAGAACAGTCTGGCAGTGTGTGAGAGACTGAAATGTTAAGGGTTAATGATTTGCAAAAGCAGGAGGGTGCTTTGCTGAGGTTTGCCCCCTCGAACCAAAAAGGGAAGAGGAAAGTTTTTAGGTGTATGATGGCAAAAACCTCTGGTCTGCATGAGAACAGCCCAGTACAGAGGAAGGGAGCACCCACTACGGGAGGATGACCATGATAAACCAGCCTTTGTTTAGGAACAAGCTGGGTTTTGAGCCAGATGGGGGAGAAGGATGATAAGAAACAGATCCTGCGGAGGTGGGATAATGCTTTTTATCATGGCAATGTCCTCCCTTACACAGCTGGCTCAGGTGTAGCCTCCCTCCCCTGGGGGAGATATTGGGATGTTCACACATAGGCCTAAAGGTTTTCATCCCTTCTGAGAAGGCATAACTGGCTCAGCTATGCTGCTATTGGAGGCAGCTTCATGTCCTAGCAGGGGTCACAAACCATCGAAGACCCCCAAAGTGCCCCCAGACTCATTTCTGGGGCCTTCCACCAGAGGACTGCACATGATCCACAGTGTTATATCAGATAGTGTAAAATTGCTCCTCACAGGAGAGGTACCTGGGCATCCCCACCTGAACCTGAACCTATATTAACCCATTGAAATTTATGTTTCCTGGGCATCCCCCACCCCTGACAGATCAACACTGCGACCATCACTTTGACCAACACACATCCAAATTGCAGCAATCAATTGCTGGATCCATGGGTGGGGATACCTTTCCACTCCACTATCTACCTTTATCCTTTCTTTCTCTTTCTTTCTTATATACGTTCTTAAGTGATATCTTTACACATGTATAAACACTGGTCATTCGGTGCTGTTTCACTCTATCCTGAGGGATTTACTAACAAGATCCAAGGGATCTGTTAACCAGAACCTCAGTTACCCCACCTTTAGGGGCGGGCCATACCACAGTGCTGCCCGTATCCTCATGGAAAAGGGATATGTTTTTTCTATGTTTGTGTAGCCTGTTAAAGCCCCGTTAATGCCACTTGGATGTAAGTGATGGAGACCGTTAAAGGTCACCACTTTTGATACTCATTTCTGCCTGGTGATGATTTAAAATAACTCCTGAATTATGCTATAAAAAGCCAGCCAGACCACACCTGAAGCACCAGACATAGCATTAGGCAAAAACAATTTCTCTTACAAGGCTGATATTCAAATACTGAAGAAAGCAATAAAAGAGACCAGCTTTGTTCATTGTGGATGGCGACGCAGAATTCTCCCATGCACCACAGCCACACACCAGCTCAATTGTTCTTTTAATGTGTTTTGCTTTATGGCAAAGCAGAAGCCAACCAGAAACTTCAGTTTCAAGTGACCTTTAGTGTATGTCTGTTATATCACAGTAAAACGACTTTCTGGATGCCTGGGATGATTATTTGTGTGTTATTGACCTCTAGAAGGTAACAGATTCGTGGTTACACAACTGTGCTCCAATTTCAGTCTCAGGCAGGTAGTTTTTAGTATTAAGGGTTTTCACTTTTCAAATATGAATTCCATCTGTGGTGCTCGATTTAATTATTAATGTTCCATAAAGCTTAAGGTAGCTTTTGGCTGTATTCATTGCCCTGGTGAAGAAAGTGTGCATCATATATTTAGGGTGATATACCTAGCTAAGGAATTTTTTACAGATTTGTTCCTTAAAAAAAAAAAAAAGTAAATGTTGTAATGTGGGACTCTGCATGTGGGTTTCTGTAACTCCATCTGAAGGCCGTGCACACTCCAGGGTCGTGGTGATAAAATTTAATTAATACATGTATATTGCTGGCTTTTGCATTATTCTATTTGAACTATAGTAGTGATTCTCATATTTTCTTCTCGTGCTTCACTGCCTTTTGCATCTCTCTTCTCTTTCCCTTCTCTCTGTCCTCAGGATATCTCTGCTCACCGGTCTCTCCTGCCATTCCCCTTGCTGCAGTGCCACACCTCTTTCCTCCCTCCATCCACTGGGGTCACCAGCCCTGCACTGCTGAGTCTCCACCCTTTTATCTGCAATGTCACTACACACCTCACTGGTAGGACGCTGTTGTTTTGCAGTTTGTCACAAAAACTGGAATAGCTGTTACTAATCACGACATCTGTTTTTCCAGAGGCATTTTATATGAGATAAAACTTCAGGTTCCGTGGGGATGCAGCTGAGTGACTTGAACGTTGGCGTTCACTGTGGTAACTGCTGTATCATGATCATGAAATCCATCAGCACAACTAGTTCTGAACGGGTTGTTTTAAGATAACTGCTCTAAATTAACGACCACTGTCTTATGACCTTCTTTACCCAAGTTTATAAGGTGCCTCATGCATTCGGGATGGTTGTAAACAGAAAGAAATTAATTCCTTCAGTGATAGCCGTGGCAGTTTGGGTTTAGCATTTCAAAGCTGTCACTCCAGGATGCTCGAGGCCACTCCTGTCGAAGCCAGAGGCAGAGCTTTTATTGATTTCCACGAGAATGACGTCAGCACCAGGTTCCTTCGGCTATTCGAAACTATACAAATATTTGGATGGAAAATATAGGCAAGAACTGGAATAACATTTTTACTCGGAGTCATGGCTAGGCAGATGGTGTGCTGAATTCTGTGATACGCTTTAATATGACATTTGTGTAGGAACAGATACTTTATTTATAAATTAAAACTTTTGAAGGCCACTGAAGGCTTGCGCTGAGACTACAGTTTGAGTGCTGACAGGGAATTGAAGTTCCCCTCTCCCTGCTGCTGCTGTCCATGGGAGAAGGCACACATGGAGCTTTCCCTACTGGAGACACATTTCAGTTCTCCCTTGGAAAAAAAAAAAAAAAGTTTAAAAAGCAGCCTCTCAACATGAGCCTTTAATGTTATTTTCAAAGCCTGAGGTTTGTAACTGAGGAGAGGTTTGGTTTCCAGGGCTGAAATTACACTGCCACAGCTCAGGAAGGTCGTTTTTATTTAGTCAGTTCTCTCATCATCAGAGGTAGTGCTGGGGTGGGACCACTGCTGAGCCATTAGGGCTCTCTCATTTAACTTTGCTGTCCTGTCATAAGGAGGGTGAGGGCATGTTTGGGATGTAGCACAGGCACAATGCCAGCTCTCAAAGGGCTGCAAAACTGAGGCTTTTGCTGCAGGTTTCAGTCATTCTGTTAGGTTTTTTTCCTGCTGCTGTGAGACTTCCAGTCTCACAGAAAATCAAATGCCATTCATCTTAACCTGCCTTTTGTCCATAAAGGTTGGCATCATTTTACAGTGGATTATGAGGTCTTTGAAAGAAACCTGATTTTTTTTGCATCAATCTGTCTTTAAAAACGTGGAAATTATTAGGTAATGCAGATAAAGAGTCAAGTCCTTCTCCATGTCAGTCATCTGTGTCATTCTGACAACCCCCCTAAGTTTAATAGGACACTTCCAATGTAACATGGTCTTCCTTGTGCACTTAGGTCATGAGTTGGAGCCTTTTGGAAACTGAAACTCAGAGTGGACATACTTAAAATTTAGTGTATCTAGAATATGTGAGATATATTAAAATATGTCTAAAATGTTAAGATCTTCTCAACCTTCTGTTCATTGCGAAGCACTGACGCACTGCACAGAGCTACAAATTTGAAAGATTCTGTATTCTTTGACATTTTATGACCTTTTTTGTACTAACTGTGTCTTCCATGTATTTCTTTATCTATCTGTGTGGCTGCTATCATTGAATTTCAAGTGAACTTGCTTCAATCCTTTATTTTTACTGCTGGCAGAAATGTAAGTTTGCATTAATAGAAGGTGCACAGAAGAGCTGGGGAATGTGGACCAAATAAAATGTCAGACTTGCAATGGGAGAACTATCAAGCACAGTAGAGATGGTTCCTAATGATAACAGTTTATATGACATTTATTTTAAGTATTTTGCAAAAGGTTAAACTCTGACTTGGCAGCTGACCCAGATTTCAGGATTTTACGTGGGTAGAAGGTCAATACAATATTAAAGTGGATTCTTAGAAGTAAATGGTGTATAAACAGCAGGCCAAGCAGCATCAAAAATCCAAGTCAGTTCCCTCTGTTGCAGGAGGAACATTTAAGCAAGAAGAGAGATCATCCTTTCCTGATGTTCCACATGTATGTTTGAGTCGTTGCTGAAAAGCCACTTCACTTCAGACAAACTTGAAGGACCAGCAACATTTGAGCTTCTTTCATAACTGGCTTCTTTCACCTCATCTCTTCACATAGCTAAAGTCATAGTAAAGTTTATATTATATTCATGAGTAGTTGAGAGGAAAAATCCACAAGAATTTTGGCTCTAAGTACACATTCCTATATTAATATGGATAGAGAAAAATATAAAATAATGTTCTTTCTGGGGCTTTTTAGGAAATTTGATCAGCCAGCCGTGTTGACTTTTGTTGTTCTTTGTCTGAATAATTACATTATTCACCACTACAATATCTCAGAGTCATGAAGTTATTTATTATACATTTTATTATTAACAATCCACTTTGTGATAAGGGAGAATTAGCCAAGTTTTAAGACTGGGCTTAATGAAATGTGGGATAATAGACGTGCTCGTTGTAATTCAGAAAGTCTTTAGCTGAGTGCTAAAAGTTGAATTCTGCTTTTCTTGAGCTGTTCTTCACTGGGTATTGGAGCCAGTTTTGGTGAGCAGTTGCTTTCTCTGAGTAAGCCTGTGATTTGAGTACAAGGCTGAGGCCCAGACCTGACCACTGCTTGCCTGAAACTACACAAGGATTCCAAATTTCTGTGGGGGCTACATCCCAGAAAGCATTCAGGATCCAGTTTATAAGGCCACAAATCTTTGAATTTCCTCAGCAGTACAAAACCACGCAGTAGGTATCAAATTCTGATGTAGACACCACATTTTGTACTGTATAATTTCTTTGTCTTTTCCTCCCTTATTTAAACAATTTAGAGAGAGAGAACTGACATCATACGTGCCTGCTTCCCTTTGACACATCTTACACGTTGTAAGTAATGATAATGTTTAAATCCAGACTGTAATTAACTCAATGGTAATGGGTGGGACATAAAACACAGGCCATAATTTAGAGGCACATTCTCTAGGAGTTTGTGTGATGAATTCAGCAATGGTGGAGGTCAGCCCACGGCTCAGAGAATGGAGAGTGCTGACTGAACACAAATTGCTGAGCATCTTCTCCCCATTTTCCATGCATATGGATGTTGCAGACCTGTCAGATAGTACTTGCACATGCAGCATTTCACATGAGTAGGTGTGTTTGGGATTGTATTGAGCTGACAAATCTGATTGCCCTTAACTGACAGTCTGGCCCCATGACAAAGAGGTGAAGCTGCATTTATCCGTGACTGTCTGTTCGCATGTAAGCATTTCCTCAAGTCTTTAAGTCCAACCCTCTTCTCTTAAGATGTGAAAAATATTCCTGTTTTCAAGAACAGGAATGGAAACTAATTCACTTTTCTTGCCGGCAGGATGATTGTGAATAATGTGGAATGTTCTGGTTTTTCCACATCAGCAACGCTGCTTTATCTCAGGATGCTTTTGTTCCGTTTCCAAAATAAACAGTTGTTAATACTTGCACGAGGTGTATTTGACAAGCAGGCTTTTGAGATCATCCACTATTCCTTAGGTAAGCAGTCGCCCTGCTTATGTATTTACAGCTCTGTTTACATTTGTATAAACTATAGAAAAAAATCCCTTTTAAAAACATTTGTCAGTTCGAAACCAGAAGCCTTATGGAAAGCCCAGGCTGTGTAGTAAAAATTCTTAATTTCTGGGTCAGCTGAGGCTCAAGATGGAAAAACAAAACAGGGTTAGGACAGTGCTGATTTTGCCTGATGAGGAGGCAGAGCCCAGAGGTACTTATGGGTTCAGGGAGGGCCTAGAGCATCTTTGGAGGATAAATCCAGCTGTTGGTACTTACCTCTCTCTCTAAATTACTGATTGCCAGGAGCTAGGAGAGAATCCCTGCTAACAGACTGTGCAAGATGAGTATCCCCAGCTGATTGCTCTCAGACACAGGATTCTGGGCTTGATGACCTTTAATTTGATCCTAATTGAGCTTTTGGCTACATTTTTATTCCTTTTTCTGATAGTCAAGTTGGTTTATAAAATGCTGGTGGCTTAAGGTAGCCTTTTAATTCAGTGCTCTTGGATTTTCTGTGGAGTTTATATTGCTTTAAAACACAAGTTTTTAGAAGGGAAGTTCCAGGACTTAGTAAGCACAGATTTTAAAGAGCTCTTTCTTTATTTCTTGTTGGGAGGGGGGTTGGGATAAAATGAAGCCATGGGTAGAGGGGTGTAACAGGGCTTTGTGAGGTTACACCAGGTCAAGCCATTGTTTTTCTCATTAATATGCATCAATATTTACTCTGAATTCAACATGGTGCAAGTGATGGGAGTTGTGTGTATTCTGGAGCCCAGTCACTCAGTTTAGAAGAGGAAAGAAGGTACATCCCACCTATTAAACATGCTTGGTTTTACTATTAAGAGACAGAAGGTCTTTTTGAAACATGAGGAAGTTCTGTGGTTTTTTTCTCTTAAAAAAAGAAAGATCACACTTGAAGGTAAGAAGACTCTTCCTCTTTGCATCAGCAGAGTCCTTTGGGAGCTCTAAATTTCTTTAGGATTCATGGCTGAGTGGGTGCAGAGACCCCCAAGGCCTTTCCAGAAGGGCTGGTTTATGTAACTTTCTAATCATGCGGTGATGTGGAGTGTCAGGAGCTTCTAAAATCCCTGTTTGTGCTCTGAACACCCAGAACTGAAGTTCAGTCCTCCTGCTGTGCCAGATCCATTCCAATGACCTCCTTAAATATTCATATTCAGAGCTATCTTGCTCTAATGAAAAACATTTCATGCAGCTCTCATAACTCTTTCACTTTTAGCCTTATTTCTGTTTTTCAAATGTCTTGATCTAGGCAGCTTCCAGCTCCTCTCTTCTTTTTTTCCTTTCTCCTTTTTTTTTCCCCTTTGTGGTTTTGCAATATTAAGTATGCCTCGAAATTTCATTAACATTTTAGACGTTTAGCTTAAAAGTATCATTGGTGTTCCCAAGATCTTTTCTGCCCTTTGACAAAGGTTCCAAAAGGAAGAAAAGTAGTATCTTTCTATTTTGGCAGGCTCTGCTCCATTTGTCAGTGACAGAATGTGAGCCTCTTGGCAAAACAGTTTTTAATATAAATACTAGATCTGACTGAAAAAATAAAAGCAGAATTTTCTGAGAACTCCTTGAAATGTCAAGTTTGTTGTCACTGTAACAAACTGGAAACAGATCATTATAAGGGAATATTCTCCATGGGTTTTGTACAATTTCTAAATGCAAAATGTAAATTTACTGTACAAGGTTTTTTTGGTAAAGTTGTATTGAAATAGACACAGACTTTTTTTTCCCCTGAAATAACCAGTCTTGAAAAAAAAAATTATTTTGTTAACCAGGATGCCACACAAAAATGAAAGAAAACTGTTATATAAAAAATTAGCAAAGTAATGATAATAATGCAGTTAATGCTGTGTTTTAATTAACAACAAAACAAGGACAATTTTCAAATACATTAATATAGGCATGATCTTAACTTTTTCAACCAGATCTAGTAAAGGACAAGTCACCAAGAGCACGAAGGAGATTGTTTCTTATTTGTTTGGGTTTTTAGGAGGACTTACTAATGAGGCTGAAACTTCAGACTTTGGAGAAGAGAAGAGAAGACGGTTTGGAGCAGAGGACCAGTGTGGATATCCAAGTAAGTCAAGGCTGGAATGAGCTCTGTGCTCCATGTTCAGCACGGGGATAACTTTCCCTCTGCAGAGCTGTGAGTAGGGTTGGCAGCTTTGATAGTGAGGGGGGTGGAGATGAGGATGGAGATTTTTGTCCCAGGAAATGCTGTGGGTGTCATATAGAACAGAGAAGGAAACAAATGGAGGCTCCTGAGGGAGCAGCTGACGTCCTCTGGGAGGTGAGGAGGCTCCTCTGGAGAGCAAAGCTGGTCTCACTTTGTGGGGAGCTCTGGGAGCTGTGATGTGTTTGTGTCCTGAAGATCTGGATTTGTGCCTGGGTTAAATGGTTCTCAGGTCACTCTTTCTCACTTGTGTTTCATGCTTTTACAAGTTCACCTCCTACAGAGGTTGTTCCCAAGCCTGGTGTGTACATGGAGGAGCAGAAGGGCCTGGAGCAGGGTACAATAACTATCAGTTTGTGACTGTCCAGCCAGACGTGCCAGGCGTGGGGCTGAGCTCCTGAACTAAACATGCCAGTCTCTCAGGTCCACTGTGTGGCTCCTTTGGGCCAAGCCTTCCTTTGGGAAAAGAGTTGGGAGTGGGGCAGGAATCCTTTTAGTGTCATATCCCTATTTTTTCTAAAAGCTAGCTCCAGAATGAATCAGGATTGCTCCACTTTTATACCTCTCTGTAAAAATTTCCATTGACATTGCAATGGGAATAAAACTTTGAAAATGGTCTCAATAGCAGTTCCAGGGGTATTGCTTCTCTTCTCTTTCACTGCAGCTCATGTTTTCCACCATATAGTTAAACTGGGAGGCTGAAAGCTTAGGAATTTATTTAGGATCAAGGCTTCCTCCCAAACTGCAGAGAATCCTGCTAAACATCAGGAGAAGGTCTGACCAGTAACGAGTACTGAGTGTTAATGTTTGGTAACAGATCCTTTTCTGTAGCTGCTTGCTGCTGCAGGCTATTTTAGGAAGATGATTGTTTTCAGTATAATGGCTTAGGCTGTATGTTTGTGTATTGCTTTGTAACAATGAGCCTTCAGGAGATTGCTCCCATACCTACTCCTCCTGTTCTGCTAATTCATTTTCCATTAGACAGCATTTACAAAGACTACAGCAAGATTTTTCCATACCCCAGTTAAAATAACTGCCCTTTGTAAAAGCTCTCTGTGCCATAAAGTCAGGGAGACCTCACTGATGGTACTGGAGGCCAAGGCAAACCCCTCTCACCATGTGCCAGCTGGGACTGCACCCAGCATCCTGCACACACAGAAATTTGCAGCAAGGACCCTCCTGACATTTACTATTGAAACAGCTGTATATTGGGGGTGGGAGGTGCTTTTCCTGCCCAGTCTGTTGTTTGATCCTCAGGACTGGAGCTAAGAGACGTGTGGGAAGAGAGGGCTGGTTGTGTCTCCCCAGACATGTTTATATAAGACCCTGCTTGCTCTGTGCTGTGTTTCTGCCTGTGTGCAGTCAGAGTGGAGATGTGCTGCTACAGCCCCAAGCAACTCAAGCTCCAAAGCCTGTCCCTTTAGCCCAGTCTCTGAAGACTAATTTATTTGGTTCTGAAGGCAGGTATTACCTAAAGATATATTTGTTTATTCTGCAATAGCTTTATGCCTTCCAACACTTTTTTTATTACCCACGGTGGAAACTGACTTCTTTTGCCCCTCAATGGAGAGAGAAATTCAGTAATGTTTGTAAAGAAAACTGGGCTGACTGGTGAAAAATCATAAAAAACTCATAGTAGAAATAGTTTTTTTATAGATTATTGGAGCTTGATGAAGTAGACCCTGGTGAATGATTTAAGTCATTGAATAACAAGATAGAAAGTAATGGAAAAAGCCAAAGGTAACAACCTCGATGGTAGAGTTAAATGATTTATCTGACTATAGCTATTCTAAAGACAAAGGTTAGTGTACTGAACTGGTGTTAGGAATTATTTCAGAAGGCATGCAAAGCCCTTTCAAGTTGCTGAAATTTGTTTATGTTGTACATTTGCCATTCCCTTACCATTAGCCTCAGTTATTTTATAAAAGTACTGCATTGACCTCTGCTGTGTGAAGTGACCACATGTGCAGTTACCAGGAGTTCACTGAAGACAAACAGACTGAAACAGGAGGGCACCGTTTCAGGCAAAAGTCAGGGTAAAACTGCAGATAAAAATGGTAATGTCACAGGTGGTTTTTTAAATAGGGTAAAATACTATAATTCATACTTCCATATTTTGCCAAACCTGTTGCCCATGTCAGTTCTCTCCCTGTTGCTCTTTTGTTTCTCCTTTCATTTCTCCTCTCATCTCCTTGTCCCCTCCCTGTTTTCTCATCTCCCACTGCCTACCCGTGTCATTGCCATTCTGAATCTATCCAACCCACTGCATCTGGTTTTACTTGGCTGTCCTTGGCAGGCCTGTTAAATTGCTCAAGGGGTTGGCTTCTTCCTGGAATATACACCCTTCTGGGGCCTTGGCTGGTAAATGTTAATGCTCAGGCTCTGTCTGCCGCTGTTGGTGGCATTTTGCAGTTGTTCTTGCTCTCAGGAGACAAGTCTGTCACAAGGACAAAGACTCTGCTCTCAAACACTGAGGTTTCTGCACAAGAGGGCAACATCGCAGGGACCTGGAAAAAAGAATAGAGCAGAACAGGCTGCAAGGTATGGTCTACATACCTTTCAAAGTCATGAACTTACAGAGAAAGCTTTAAAATAAAACATTTTTGGGGGGTGGAGGCAGGGGCTGTGCTGGGAAAGCTGCTTCTCCTCTTTGGTTGGAAAGACTGTCCCACACAGGGCAGGACAAGGGGAGAGGGGTGTACAATCCTTAAAATGATGCTGAAAAAGAAATATATCTCAAGGGATAAAATCTGAGGAGACGACTACAACTCTAGTGAATATAAATTGCTTAAGTGACACTTGGTTCTGTGCAATGCAAAGCAGGCTGTTTGGTTAAAAAAAATTCACAAAAGCTGATTAAATTAATGGTAAGCCAAGAGGGAAGAAGGTGGGAGACTGGCAGATTTCTTGAAACGTGTAGACACATTGATGTGTCTCTCATCTTGGTGGGAGTAGTAACGAAGGGAGCTCATTACAGAAACAACACACAACTTAGCCTTGCCCTTTCCTAGCAAGAAATGCTGCTACATGCAGTGTATTTCTGCTTTAGCATTGATTTATCTGAGGGATAAATCAGCTTCTTTCATTATTATTTGCTGTTGATTTTTTTCATATGGCTCCACTACTTGACTGCTATTTTCCCATAGCATTTTCCCAGCATGCCTTCAGAAATATCAGAAAATGCTCACAAACGCTCCAGAAAAGTGCCAGCTAAATATTCCACAAAGTGCTTGCAGAGCTTGTGCAATGCTTCCCCTGGTCTTTCCCAGCTGTTTTTTAGCATTGATCTAATATTTCCCCCCTTGAGCAGTTAGCATTTTTGTGACATTAAACATAGTGGGGAGGTTGTGTTTCCACGTATGAATAAAGTGACTGCTCTGATTTTTCAGAAGAAAATAAGTGTTCAGTGTTCCTCCTCAGCAAAAATCACTGCTCCAGATTGCTGCTGAAGGGTTTGGTTTCTTCTGGTCTTTTGGGGTTGCCTGTGGCTTCTCCAAAGGAAATAAGGTACTTTTAGTGTTACAATTCAGACTACTCAAAATACATAGCATGTGACACTTTGGTTTTCTTCTGGCATTGAATCAGGCTCTTAATGTTCTATATAACATTTAAGCAGATTACCTGAAGTATTTTTCAATAAAGCTGTGTGCTGTGGAAGAGGGGGCTATGCCAGCTGTCTGCAGCACGAGGAGTTTAGGTTGTGTGGATGTACAGTCATACAAATCCCACCCATCTCATGAAATACTTTGCATTCACTTCAGCAACAGTTCTTCTCTCTTTTCTTCCCTGTAAGTTGTTTCTAAACAGCATAACCCAAAGAAAGGCTGACAAAACCCAGCACAAGTTTCGTGCTGTTGGCTTAATGGTAATTGGTTCATCACGGGTCCAATCCTGAATTTAGCATTGCAGTCATGAAGCTCTGGACCTCTTTGTGTGAAACTGGGACTTTGGGAATCATTATGAAGAATCAAGCCTCTAATCAGACTGATAAAATCTCACTAATGCATAGTTGCTTTAGCAGGGCAGGTGAAATCCATGTTCCAGTTTGCAAAGCTTGTCTTTTGAAGATACACGTTTTAAAAAAGTATTGCTGGCTCTTCAAATCCATTTATCTCTGGTTATAATTGATAAAAATCAACTTGTATCATTTTTATAGAGCTAGTGGATGTCTTGAAAATGTTCCAGGTAGATCTTAATGTGGTCTTCATGCAACATTGAAAGAAACTGTCTCTTATCTGATGTATTGAGCTCTTCCTGCTAGAATTCAAAAATGTCATTTAGATTTGGACTGCACAGGTATAAAACTAGATCAAGTCATCTATGGACAGAGCATTCCATGCTCTGGCATCTGCTGGATGGCCACTTTTCATAAAACATCAGAACTATGAGAGTTAACCTCACAATATTTCACATTTTCAATCCATTGCCTATTAGGAGCATTTTATGCCACCGGTAAATTCTACATTAGACTTAAATTATTAAGCTCTATGTTTTTTTTCTAGGCAAATACACATTAGTGGGACATCACACTGTGCAGTAGGAGTTGTGCTGTGCCTGCCAAATTCACATCCATTCATGATTTCCAAAGGCCTGTCTGCATCAGTGCTCAGCATCTGACAACTGTGCTTAAGCAACCATCTCCCACTAAAATTACCAGGTTTCCCCTCAGATAACTAGTGGACAATTTTCTAGTTTATTTTCAGCAATTCTGAGGTGGGGAAGGACAGTGAAATCTGATGCACTGATGCTCATAGAAGCTTTTTGATGGAAATACATACAAACACAGTAATACTTTCTTGCTACACAGAAGGCACATTTTAGGATTCATGAGTTTTTAAAATGATGCAGACAAACAAAGGACATTTTACTGCCTCTGACCCAGATTTAGCAAATTAAAATTCTTG